ATCGGTTTATGTTGTTCATTATAATCCACAAATGAGTGAGAACATGTGATATTTATCTTTCTCTGACTGGCATGTCATCCTTTTAGTTGGAAAGGGGTTTGTAAATGTTTGATGGACTACAGTTTTATATCTGTTAGTGTTTTGGATTGCCTATATAGAAAAAAATTAATTTTTAAAAGCAAAAGTAAAGAAAATGATTAAGCATAGGAAAATATGGTATAAATAAATTTCTCTCTTTATTTTACATAAATGCTAAATGGGAAGGTTTAAAAAAATTCCTAAGAAGACTCCCTGCTTAGATACTGTGCTCCACTTCTGTGCTATTCCTCCAGTCATCCTCAAATAACCAGCTTTGATGATTTGTTTTTTTGAAAAAAAAAAAGAAAAAAGAAATGTTTATTTGAAAGCATAAAAAAACAAACAGGTTACCTACCATATGACCCAGCAATTGCAGTCCTAGGTATATACCAAGGATAAAGTGAAAACATGTTCACATGAAAACCTGTACACAAATGTTCACAGCAGCATTATTCACTGTAGCCCAAAAGTGGAAACACCAAATGTCCATCAGCTGATGAATGGGTAAACTGTAGTACAGCCATACAATGGACTAGTATTTGGCTATAAAAGAATGAAGTACTGCCCTGGCAGGTGTGGCTCAGTTGGTTGAGCTTCATCCCTTGCACGGAGAGGTCACTGATTTGATTCCAAGTCTGTCACATGCCTGGATTATGGGCTCAATCCCTAGAAGGGGGCGTGGAGGAGGCAGCTGATTGATGTTTCCTTCTCTCCCTCTCCCTTACTCTCTCTCTAAAATCAATACAAACTTTTTTTTTTTCTTTCTGCAAAAAGCTTTCTTGTTTCATTTTGTCCAGTGCATGGGAGAGGGCTCCAGGGTGGTTAAAAGAATGGCTAGTAGTTTCTGGAAGAGGCTCAGGTAAAAGCCAGAGATGCCAGGGGGATGCAGAGGGGCCTCTCTGAAAGGCCTCTGGGCTCCAAAGGGGGGGGGGGGGGGGGGGGGGGGGGGGGGGGGTGAGCCTTTCGAAGAGATACTCGATGTTAGTCAGGTGGTTGCCCATCTTCTTGATCAGTTTCACCTCCTCATCCAGGAAGTGGTTCTCCAGGAAGTCGCAGAGATGAGGGTCTTTATGGGCAGAACCCAGGGCATGCAGCTCCAAAAGGGCCTGGTTCAGGTTCTTCTCCAAGGCCAGGGCGGCTTCCATGGCATCCTGAGTTTTGCCCCAGTCATCCTGGGAAGGTTTCTGCACGTCCTGGAAGAGACTGCGGCCGCTGCTCAGTGCCCTCGCGCTGCTTGGCGGAAGAAGTGGCCCACACCCTCCAGAGCCACATCCTCACGGTCTAAATAGTAGCCCAGAGAGAGATAGGTGTAGGAGGCCTGCAGATGCAGGTTGCCCAGGCGATTGACTGCAGCCTCCACCTCGGTGGAATAATTCTGACGAATTTGGGAGCTCATGGTTGTTCAGCAATAAGGAGTTAAGGTAGGAAAAAAAACAACCGGTGTGTTGGCTGGTCCTGGAGGTGGTTCTGAAGGTGGTGACTGGATGAGACGCAGGAGAGAGGCCGGAGGCTGGAAGAAGGGGCGTCCCTGGGTCTTTTCTGTCCAAACACTGTGGAAGCAAGAGACAGATCTGGGACCTCCAAGTGCACTTTACACCTTGAATGAGACCATTCATGAGGAATGTGTGTTGAGGAAATGTTTCACGTAGAACAGTTAGCATTGGAGTTGTCAGCAGGCCCCAAGCAAAGAATTCAAGGAAGATTACAATTGTAGCATGGTATACACTTGGTCGGCCAAAGCCTTCTTGCTCGCATCCGCCAGCAGCCCATGGCTCCCGCCTCCGGCTCCCAGCTCAGGCCATGCAGGCTCTGGCT